AATTTTTTAAATCATGTTATTTTGTGTCAATGTTTTGTGTGATGTTGTGCTTTTCCTAATTCTAAAAGTCTAATACAACTTTGATTGCACTCAAATATTTTAAAAGGTGTCATAATTGGTAGATTTATTTCTTCTAGAAGTTGTTTCATCCATAAAGTTTCTTGGATGATTTCAGCCAGGACTACATATTTGGCTTCAGTGGACAAAAGTGCTAAACACTGTTGCTTTTTACTAACCAAATGGTAACCCAAAAGGAAGTTTCATTCCCATTTGGAATGGAACTTCTTTTTAACAAGAGTAAATTTCACATGTTTGATTTGCAGTCAGTATGATCACCTCCCAGTTGGCATCAAACACATTTAATTTCTAATTCTTTGTCAATATTTCCTAGTTTAAGTCTCTTCTTTTCCATCAAATTCATATAATAAAAATTATTTTCACTTCTTCCCAATTGCTTTCTGAAGGTTTTGTTACGTTTCTCGCTAATATCAATGTACTTATAACAATATCCAGACATGATTTAATTGCTGGAAATAATAACAATCCAACAGCACCTCTATATATGTTTATCTTGAATGTAACCTTCTTAAGTATTCTGTATCCATAGGAATATCTTATCAGATTTTGTGTCAACTAATCAGTAACCTTTCAATGCTCTCATTTTCTATAAAAAGTAGATTTGTGGCTCTATGTTTAGTTTTTTTCATGTTTCTTTAAGATTAATAACATAGGCTGAGCATCCAAAAATTCTTATATAAGAAAAGTTTGGTTTCTTTTCCCCCATGCCATTTTTCATATGGAGTTGTTTCACTTGCTTTAGTAATTAATCTACATTATATATAATTTGCATTATGCACTTCTCCTCCTCAGTGTTTTGGGTAATTTATTTATTCTCAAAGGACAACACCAAGGGTATAAGTAATAAAAGAAACTTGAATGCATGAAAGGAGTTGGGTTATTTATTTGTATTAAACACTTTATGGGACTATCCCATCCCATCTTTAGAAAATTCAATATTCTGGCAATTCAAACAGAACAACTGTTTGTACATAAGCTTTTGAACTGACCTTTTAAACTTTTGAAAAAATTCAAACATTTTTTAAAACAAAGCAACAGATATTTTAAATTATAAACATGAAAATAATAATACTATCATATCTGCCAACTTTTAGTAAGGAGAATAGCTGGAACATTGGTAGAAAAATGCTGATTTTTGAATAAAAATGCTGACAGCATAAAAAGTGAAAAAATTCTTTTCACATTGATTATTAACATTGATATTGGTCTGCCTAGGTGATGCCTTCTGGGAGGTCTTTTAAGGGTTACTGACCCCTACTTATAGGCATTAAAGACATGAAGAAAACCCGGAAACTCCACATGGCCAGCCTGTCCTGGCAAGGCACAAATCCCCATGATTGAACTACCAGTATTCAGGAAATGGAACTGCTTGACTACTGCTGTGCCCCAAAACTTGTAGTGCTGTTCAATAATTTGGGCTAACTGTAAAAGTAACTCATTTCCTTCTGATGATGAGTTGGCCATAATTGATTTAACTGCCAACATAAGAGCACTAACATTGACAGACTTGAAAACGCAATTTATCATATCTGACATTTAAAATTATCATATTTGGGCGAAAATTATCACAAGTATACCAAAATACATATATAAAAATATCAATCTTGGTTCATTCCCAATTGAATAAATCTGAGAACGTCATTCTGGTTCACTTCAGTCATTCGTAATAAAGTACATACAATATCATCAGTATATACTATATATTGGTATTAGACTCATTAAATGAAGTGTTTATGTAATAATATTAATATAAAATTCTTTAAAAACACTAACAAAAGGGAAAAGTAGCCTGTCCACTGATGGAGTGTTAAAAAATGCTGGTGGTCAGCACCAAATATTGATGGTTGGCAAATATAATACTATCCATGCATAAAGCAATAAATAAAAATAAAAACAGAAATAAAAAACAAAATACAAATGAAACTAAAATAAAAGATAGATAAGATAATATAATAACAAAAATGATAAAAAACATAAAACTAACATAAAAATAAAAATAAAATAACAGTAAATAAAAACGCATAGATAAAAAATAGTATCTGCAGATAATTTAGAAGTGTTGGCCTATGGAAGTTTGTAAGATATAAATAACCAAGTCTTGGGAGAAGCTTAACCTGTAGTTTTTAGTGGCATGCTTATGACTGTAAATAACAAATAAGCCATACCCAAGGATCTAGATTGTTTCCTTCTCTTATTTATGACAGGAAGTTTGATAGTAGTGATAATCAACGCTTCAGCTAATCTAAGTAGCAAATATCTTGTATTTTTTATCAAAATCTCGGTGTCCTTCCATTCAAGAGTAGCTTTCTTTTTTGTGAAGATCTGTTCTGCTAGGGCTATAGATAAATTCCTTCATTTGAGATTGTCTTTATGCTTAGATACCTTAGTGTACAATAAGTGCTGTCTATTTAATAGTCTGACCTGTCATTTATTTTGATTAGAATGGAATGGACACCACTTTGTTATTCCTCTGGTATTGACTCTGATATATGACATGATTAAAAATAAAAAAGAATCAATACCAAAGGAGCAAGAAAGTGGCATATAAATTCTTGAAAAATTCTTTACATATACAAATACAATATAAAATAAATGTTAAAAAGATTTTATAATATGAAAATTAACTTGGATAAATGTAAAAAAGAGAGAGAGAGAATACTAAAATTTAAATAATAGTAATAAAATTATTTAAGCTTATATAACAATGAGTTGGAATTAGAAGTTATAAAAAGTAGTGATATAAAGACAAAAATTGCTTTGCTGATCCAATGATGTAAAAAATATATATAAATTATAATTAAAAAAAATCAAAACAAAATTAATTCTTACTTATAAACATCATTTTTTCTAATTATTCCAAGATAAGTTGTAGTAACAGTTTTAAATGTAAATAGTGATGGATCACCTGTAAGAACTGCTAAGCCTCCAATTATACTTTCAGAACTGGCTACACACAATATATTCTAAAATATATTTTAAAATATTTCATTTTTATTGAATATTTTCATATTTTTTTAATCAAAAACATTAGAATTAAATTTAATAAATTTACTCTCTATTAATTGTAAATGTAATTTATCAATCATTTATCTATAATTAAATATATTTACTTAATATATTTAAAATATATAGTTTACTATTATTATGTAATATACAGTGCAATCAAAAAATCATGCAACCTGATTGTCAAATGCATGCTTTTTGTATAGGACAAAGTCACCTCAAAATTTTCTTAATAAGTGGCAGCACTGGTATAATGTGATTCGTAAACAGAATGTGTTCAATTTGCAGTTGGTATCATGAGTGGTATGTCAGACACAGCATACCATCTTATTCATGGTGGAGCAATATTTTGTTACCTGCTCTTATGTGAGAGTGATTGAAGAATTTTGACAGAAACATCCCATGATAAACATCCCAATAATTAAGCAATAGCATAACTGATTATCCAGTTTCGTGGAATGAGGAGTGATATAAATTAAAAGCATAGTGGACATCCATTGATATTGAGTGAGGAAAAAATGGATAACAATATGGCACGAATGTTGCAGTCATTATCAAAAAGTGTAAGAAAACTTGCATTACAGACAGGGTTACTATAAGATTAGGATTATTATGTATCATGTTTGTTCAGTACACAATTGAAACAAGTAGACTAGAAAAAGAGACTGCAATACTGCAGATAGTTTCAATCATTTGTCATTCTCAGGCGAAAATCGAATACATTTATTATCGAATTATCAGTTTTTTAACGGACTTTTCAAATCATTTGTTGAAAATAGTGGAATTGGAAAACTGGATATTTAGTGATGAGGCCTGGTTTTACATGAATGGGTATATAACAATCAAAATACCAAAATCTGGCTAATGGATAATCCCCGCATACATTGAGAAACCACTACACTCCAATTAAGTCAATCTCTTAGTCAAGATTTTTCTGTGAGAGAGCAATATTAGGTATCTGGTCAGGTGCATAGTATATTCTAGTCAGCATCATGTAGTTTAAAGTGAAAACAGCAGTGGCGTGCCGTCATTGGAAGCGGTGGATGCGCCGCTTCCTTTGTATTTTCTAAAAAATAAATACATATTAATTTTAATTATATGAAAATAATCACACAATATTTTATTAGAACCGCATTATGTATCTTATTACAAATTTCTATACATGTGAAAAAGAAAGATAAGATTGCTATTGTATATTCGAATATTAGTGGCGGAGTGGAAGCACTGTATTGTCAGCATCCAAAAAGCCAGATCCGCATATTGCTTTACAGTGCACCAACCTCACCTGGTTTAGCTGGTGGAAGCCTCCTAGGATCTTGGGTGGATGCTACACATATACCACATCCAATTCTATCCAGGACTGGTTCTGGGCTGTTAGCCGCCTGCCTGGTAGATATTTAGTCACCCTCACCCGATTACGCAAATCACAAGTAGATTTTTAACTTAACCCAACCGATAAGAATTTACTGGTATGTTTCTATGATAGTTCTGTATAGTTGACAGGAGTTTAAAAAAATCCATTAAAATATTTGATATTTTTACTCCGCTCTCCAATTTTATATTACTCACGGATTTCAATGTTAAACCAATGATATTATGATTTTGTATATCCCATCTTTAAGGGGATGTAGAAAAAAACGTGTACAATTCTTGTATAATGTTAAAAAATTAACTGTTACTTTGACAGCATCATTTACAACTAAATTTAATGAATGAGAGAGATGCATGAGGTACAGAAAAAGCTCCAGAATTTATTTTCCTTAAATTTACGATTTATGTATCCGTTTGTCATAAAAATTTGTCTTTCCACTTTTTTCCCAAGACTACAAATATTCAAGTACAAAGTAACTGGTTTTGACTTATTTCTACTTAAGAGCCGCCACAAACTAGCACTTTGCGAGAGCAAAATGCTAGCAAACGTGCGCTAGCAAAACCGATGATGTCAAAGGCTCCTCCCCTTTCTTCTTGCCCGCGTGGTTTTTCTTTTGCTAGCGCAGCAATGCGAGAATATGCTCGCTGTTCACAGAATTCAACAGCTAGAGCAGTCATGCTAGCAAGAGAGAGCAGGGAAGATAGATGACTACATGAACATGTCACTTGTCGAAAAGAAATAATAGAATTTTACCGATGTATGTAAATTACATGATTAATACATTCAGTATTAAAAAGAAAATAATATAAACGTTATATATAAATAGTAAATAGTTATATATAAATAGTTTTTAGCTAGTTAAGCCTAGTTAGGCTTACACTAGTAAACGTGGCTTAACTAGTAAATGTATTTTTCCCATGCTGTTTCAAAGTTCGGAACGAAAACTGACTGATCACAAGTATAGGTTATAATAAAATGTTGCTCTATAGCCAATCTACATCTGTGGAATCCACATCATGTGGACTACGTTACGCGAGCAAATGCTGTGTAGTTTGCAGCGGCTCTAAGAAGTAGTCAAATAATTAAGCGATTAGGGAATTGGGGGCATAAACAAAACCCTGATGAAAGAACTGACATTTCACTTAAAAGCTTAATTGAACCAATCTCTAGCCGAGTACAGTGAAAAACGATTTCTTCATATTATTAATGTAATAAAGACAGAAATTTTTCCAGTTCAATGAGAGTGACCGAAAAATTGTAAATTTTGGAAATTTCCAAGGACATGGTCCTAAAATCAATTAGTTAGAAAACAAATGACTATTAAGTTTAACATATTTAGATTTTTACAGCTATGGAGAGAAACGTATAAAATCTACAACAGCCCTGTCGCATCCTTTGAGATATACTAGCGATGTGACAAAAGAGGTATTTGACATTGACCGGTATCAGCACCCTGGGGATTTGGCAGTCTGTGTGTATGCACGCTCTGCAACCGTCTTCGATTCCATCCATTAGCCACTCGTAGGGAGCTATTTGACTAAGTGCATTGTTTTAAGATTTAAAAAGTAAAGAATATTTTATATTTTTATGTACGTTTCTTTACAAAGCTATATTTAATTATAATTTTCTTTAAAAGTATATTCATACAATTGAAGAATATTTTGTACCAGGTATGTACCGGTACATCCATCACACATTTTATTTCACCAAGTAAGTTTTTATTATTTTATTTTTAATTGTAGCCCTTATATCGTGGCTAGCAATTCGGAATGTAATTGTGATATTAAAAATGCATTTAGAGAAGTCTACATCAAATGTCACAGCATGCCACTGACATTAAGATTTTTAACATTTTAATTTAAATAAATAAATAAATAAAAAATTATTCACAGATAGAATGATACACACAAAAAATATCTGAGGGGACAAGGCTCCAAAATGTCCCATAAACTATGGGCCTCAACAAAGCTGGTATAAGGTGAACTATATACAGTCGTTGCATTGTGGGGCCAATCTTCTTTGACAGGACTGTAAGCAGGGCCAATTCAATGAGTGAAGTGACAAGACAACTGCCTCAAGTGGCAAAATAAGCAATCAAAAATATTCAAAAGGATAAAAAATAAAAATAATAAGCCCTGAATTTAGTTAAGTCTCATAAATGTACTTTAAAGTTGTTTATAAATAGTACAAGAATACCAGTGCCAAAAGTGTTCTTTATTTGTAACCATTTCAGAAACAGGCAGCAAAAATCAGTTTTGCCTCAAGTTTTCATTAAGTTGGCACTGACGATGAATGGAATCATTTACAGAGACATTTGTCATCCAACTTATCTCATTGTTTCAGAAAGATAAACATTTATGTTGGCTGTAATAAGATGGTGCCATATTTCATAGACCTTTGACATTTTTTTAAGAATTCTTTAGTAATTGATTAGTTTCACCAGGTTTATGGCCCCCTAGATCACCAGATCTTTTGTCATAAGATTTTTTTCTTGTGGGGGATATCTCAAAGGAATGTTATACAATAGGAATCATCAGTGGCACACCCAGGGGCCCAAGGGGCCCTGGTCTCCTCCAAAAAGAAAGGAAAATAAATAATTGAAAATTTTCCAAAATTTTTTTCTAATTAAAATTTATTTTTTTATTTATATTCTGTCTTCTATTCTTATACTAATCATGAATTAGAGGTCACATAAGGAGGGAATTTTATTGAATTTACATTAAAAGATTTTTTTATCCATTCAACTCGGCCTCCCAAGAGTAAATCCTGACTGCATCACTGGTAATCATCATGTAGTTAACAAGTTTAAGACTAACATTGTTACAGCAATTCAGAATGTCCAGTTTCAATCCTACAGTAAGTGGCTGCTAATGATGTAAGATAATGTTCAAAAAAGTTCAAGCATTTCTCCAAGAAGAAGTAGCCATTTTGAATTCATACTGTAATCATCATCTTGAATACTGTCTTAAAAACATAATTTAATTTGATGACATGTGTGTAAATACCCATGTAACTTATATACAATTACATTCTTAAAACCAATCATAAAGTTTCAGTATTCATAAATGCATTTATGAATACTGAAACTAATTTATGGTTAATTATTCATTATAAAATTTCATTTTCTTATAAAAATTTTTTGTAACAATAACATATTCTATTATATTATTATAAGGCTTATACCAAAAGTTTTTGATATTAATTTTACTTCTAAGTAATGACTCTAAAAATATCATGTACCACTGTAACCTACATACTTTTATTTCTCTAGAAAAGCCTATTCTGATTGATGCATATTTGCATTTGCCATTTTTTTGGAAGTTTAAAAATTCCTCTGTCATCGAATTCCATTTCAATCATCTGTACACAATGATGCAGATAATTTATTACATGCTAGCTTCACAACTTTCATAATGCTATCCTTGCATTTACTGTTTTTTTGAAAATGAAAAGACTAAGTCCGATAATCTAAAAAAAACTAAAGCTAGGCTATATACAAAATGAAGAAGTTCCCAATTGTGCTTCTAAATTGTCTTTGGTCAAAGAACAGTGAGAGATGATGTATTATTGTGCTGTAAGATGTTCTTTTTTCCTAGCTGTTTTTCATTCAATGCACAATAAATCTTATACATATTTCATCTCTTCAAACAGACAAAAGGACCCTGTCATTTATCTTTTTGACCAAATGAAATATATTTAGCAACATTTATCATTTTGATTATTTTCTAATTATTTATCCATCTAACATAATGCATCAGGCAGAATATTCACACTAATTTCAGATAGATATTCTGTATTTTAATCTTATGGTATTATAATTAAATGTATTTAAATTTTTTTAATTATTAAGAATGTTAATAATAATTTTGATATTATTAGTAAACTTACATTTTTCTTTGTATATGTACTTTGTAAAATTTGTACATATCCATGAAGAATATAAAAAAGATCATTGTTTTCACTTGAATCTTCATAAGTTAAATAATAATCTGAAGGGTATTCAGCAATTTCAATAAAATTTTCTAATTTAATATCATCCTGTTAAATATAAAAATTGAAATCAACTTTATTTGATTATTGAGTATTATTTCAAAATAATTTTCTTAAAATATGAAAAACTGAAATAATTTAAATAATTTATATATTTAATACTATTTTTAATGAAAGGACTAAATGTCAGATTAACAACAAAATAAATATAATAGGAATTACAAAATATCAACTGACAATCTGACTTTAGCTATACACAAATTCAGTATTATTACAATATTATTTAAAAATAATGTTTTATCATAGTTTGACAAATTGAACTTTACTGGCTTAGAATTTTTTGAAGAATGTAAAAGCTTAAGTTTAAAGCAGCCATTTTGCTTGCTTGACCCTCAGGACATATGTTTAGAGGAAAGGAGAGAACATGGCTTTTGCAGTTGATTAGCTAGTTACTGATTATATGACTGAAAATTATTTCTCTAAGTACTAACTTTTTTCCTTTATCTCTATTTTTTGCTTTGTTCTTATCCACATACAAAACAAGAAAGCACATATTAGAGTTTAATTAATGTAGCAACTAAGATGGATAAATAGATAACATATCATGCCTTCATATGTTAATAGAATTCCTTGATATAATATGTAATTAGAGTTACCAATTCTCCTAGACTTGCATAGAAATTCTCAAAATTTGGTAAAAATTTTTCAATTCTTAGGCTCCTATATCGAGGCCAATTCTTCCTGTATTTACTCAAGAAGACAATCAACTTTTGGATTATATATTAAAACAGACTAAAGAATAGATAACAGCATTTTGATACTGCTGAGAGTAAAAATTTCAAATCTGAAACTTTTTATTCCTGGAATCAACTCTTTGGGAGTTGGCTAGCTCATATGTAATGCTAACTCTTATTTAACAAAATGTTAAATCAGAACATTATTTTATTGCTTAAATGCACTAATTTAATAATTCATAGTACAATAAATACTTTTGTAATTAATCATACCATATGATAGTAGAACCTGATTAACTTGAATTAGTCAAAAGAAAATAATTTGGACTTTGAGTAAAAAATTTGAGTTAAAAAGTTTCAAGAAATTTGAGTTAACCAGTTTGATTTAACATTTATGCTAGATGATCAAAGAAAGAAAATGACTTTGAGTTATCCAGGTTTGAGTTAACAAGGTTCCACTGTATTGTATTGTATGACAACAATATGTAAAATAAACCTATTATTCCATTTTATTTGAACTTGTTAAAATAACAAAAATATGTAGAATTTAATGTTATATTAAAGTACTCAAAATGGTAATATATTTGTGTTTTAAATATATGATATTATCGTTCCATGAATTGATATTCTGAACAAATCATATGTTAATATCAAATGTTATTAAAAGGCTACTTTGTGATATTATTTATAATTTAATGCATTGTTCAGTAATCAAAAACAAATTTTGTTTCTATTTAATAAGGTTACCAATCATCCTCCTTTAGGGAAAACAGTCCTTCTTTTGTAAGTTCTGTCCTCCCTTGAAAAGTGTCCTCCTACATGTCCTCCTTTTTGATATTTGAAGACTAATCTGTAAATCTCTGTATTTGATTGATGCCAAGCCGACCAGTTGTATGTGATGTGATGTGACGTGTTTGTATTTGACAAGACGATTCATCAAGGCTCTGACAAGG